GAACAACGCGAAAGACAATCAAACGCGCTTGCTGATCGAAATTTCATTACGTGAGCTACACGTTAAGTTTCACCCACTGGGAACTGTTGCGAAATAGATTGCGTTGGCGTGCCATAATAATTATTTTCGATCTTACAATGGGCAATTAAGCGGAACGTCAAGGGCTCAGAATTAGGCGATAACGAGCTTAAGCTCCTTTTGAAATGTCATCCTTCACGCCGTCATATTAAATACAAACGAAAGTGTCACATCTCTGCAGGGAAAAAGGAGTGCCATGACAGGGGGCTGTTGATTTCGCCACCTTCCGTCAACAATGATGAAGAGGGTGCGTAATTTATATTTGGTTTGTGGAGGCACATGTGTGTACTATCAAAGCAGCCGGTTTTTTTCTGATTTATGATTGCAAAATTTTGCTCTGGTGCTAAAATTTATTAACCTATCAGGATGATTCGCCTGCGTGCGGAATCGATATTTTACGACGGAAAGGGCGCCTGTTAAAAAATGCATGCCATACCATCCAGAACTTGTGGAGATAAAAAATGCATCCGAATATTCACCTCTAACGAGACTTTCCTTTCAGCAAACTCTAGATAATTCAACCTCCAGCTTTTGTTCTGTAAAAAAAATTTTTTTATCCTTTTTTGACTGATTTGTTTTGAATTTGAAACTTTTTCTCCAAGGTTGTTTTGGAATAGTTTATTATTGATAGAAATATTGCTAAATTATTTTTGGGTCCATTCATAATTCACAGATTGAAAATTATTTGGAAAAAATATAACAAAGAAAAAACCAAATAAAAAAAATCAAAGCACATAACATGTACATATAAAGTAAATCCATTAATTATTATTTCTTTACAACACTCTGTTTATAAATTTAGATTTTGAAAATACTTTCAAACTTCGTTTGTCCTCTATTTTAAATCCATTAACAACTAATTACTGATACCTGTTATTATTTAAAAAAAATCACCTGAATTCAATTATTTAATTATTGCCGTTTTAATTATAATTTTGTAATAAAAAAAATGCACAGATCAGCACAAAATTGATCTTGGAATCCCAGCAGGAAGTCAATAGTAAGGAAATGGGTGAATTTTCTAAAAAAAGTGCTTTTAATTTTCAAGGGCAACCCTTACAAGTGTAGTGGATCTTTTGGCCTCTGGAGGCCTATATGAATCTATTTTTGTTCCCCAAGTATGATCAAAGCAATTAAAATTCATCATTCACGCGGAGGCGGCTGCAATCAAATGAATTACGCACAGTGCGAGCAATAAAATTAAGAGTGTGCCGAATGCCGAGGATCACAATCTGCCTGCCGCGCGAAGGAGAAAGTGGTGCGCGCCCGCGCGACCGGCAAATGCGCAACTAAGGCGATAATTGTGCAGGTCACGCCTCGGCGAAAGACATGCGTGCCGAAAATTGATCAGATGATATAACAATGGTGCACGCGCGACCCACGCGGCTGTAGAGACGGTGTTGCAAAAATTTGCTGCTTTTGCACTTCCCACTCAAAATAATGTAATTTCGGGCAATCTTTTAGAGTCGTAGTGGCACAAAGAGGAAAGGCGGAACTGCGGTAGTAAAAAAAGCATGATTATTTACTTGAGAAGATCCGACTACAATGTGAAAAAAGAACGCGTTTTTATTGACGTAAACTTAATTGCAATGGTTATTATAAGCTGTTGAAAAATGATTGTTCCTACTCTGATGAAAAAAAATTCTTAAAACCAATTAAAGATCTTAAATAAAATACGGTTTTTATTCACTAATAAAAACTATTTTGCAGCTGCATAACAGCAAGTGAATTTTTTTTAAATATTGCAATTTGCAATCGATTTTTTTTCTCGAAGAACATAATAGTGTATTATGTTCATTCAAATAACATTTATTATTAAACAGATTGAGAATTAAGTGGTTAAAATAATGTTCTTTATTTAATGGAATGAGTTAAAACATATTGCTTATAAAAAAATTAACAATTCTGGATTCAGCAACATAGATTTAGAAAGAAAAAAATCAATAGAGATTCAGTTTTACTTTTACTTCAACCTATCGACGCAAGTTCAAATGTCACCAGTTCTTCGTGCTATAAGGTTTATTTCTAGAGAGCCCATTACTGAGGATTTTGTGTCGAGGAGCACCTTCGAAAAGTTATATTTTGAGAAAGTATTGCTCTCAAGCCAAAAAAGCATGGCAGAATCCAATTACGGCATCTCTCAGACATGTGCTACATCACATCGCAAATTTTCCGCCCGTGATTTGACGAATGCGCTATTCCGGCGGCATCTTCAAATTTTTCTCTCCAAATCCTCTCGCTCCATTGCCCCGTGAAAATGCAGCCGAGGTTTTTGCCCTTGCATATATGTACTGTGCCTGCCTTATTTCTCTCTCCGCATTTTCAGGCAAGAAACACTATGCGCGCGGTGCCGGCGAACGAAACGTGAGATCAATGAAGTGTGTTGCAAGCAAACTAATCTCTTAAGCACTCGCTTCTCTTCCTTCTGCTCTCTTCCATTCTCCTGAGCAATCTGTCAAAAAAGAGGAGGAAAACAATGAAGGTCAGACGCTGAGAATTCAAGATCTTTAATCTCTTCGTTTTTCAGAGGAGGATGAGAAACGCGCCTCCGTTGCGTCTGAATGCAGTTGTTGCACTTTCCTTGCATAATCTATTTGATTTCCAGAGAGAATTCCTTTAGATGGAATGATGGATGGGTTGAATGGATTGTTAATCACTTTGAAAGGCATTGTCTTGGCCAATCCAAAAATAATCTGTTTCGATATTTGAGCTTAAAAAATATGCATAAAAATCCGTTTTTTTCCTGACAAATAATTAAAAGTTCCTTATTCTTCTTCTAAATAATATTTTTGCATTTATATTTTTATCATTTGGGCGTTGATGAAAAATATTCAAAACTGTTAATTATAAATGTCAAATATTCAATTTTATTATTATTGCTACCAATGGACTTGCGTTTTGACTGAAACTGTTATTAACAGAAGTACTCGTAGCTAAATGATATTTGATAATAAATGAAAAATATCAAATGGAAACTGTGTTGTAAATACTCCTGTAATTAGCTCATTTCATTTACAGACTTTATTGATTGATTGGCGCATAAAAATTAATTACAGGGAGAATTTTTTTTCCAAATGTTCCTCTTGCATGCAGAATTTTGGTAAAAAGGTAGGATAGCCAAGTGGAAAGAGCAGTCAATAACGTTCCACTTGACCCTTAGCGAACAAAATCCTCGACCATGCTCTGATTGCTGCTCCTCTCAAGCTCGAGATGCTTTTGTGTAGTGCCTATTTTTTGTGCATTCTACAGGAGCTCTAATTTTACAGGGGACAAAACAAGAGCACACAGTGTTTTGTCATCAACGGAGAAAGGGTCGAATTTGTACGAGAAAAGGAGTCTGTGAAGAGTTGCCGTGTTTGCCCAATAAAAGGTGAATAGCCCATCAGGGCCGCCCGTCCGCGGGCTGCTCTAGTGTTGCAAGTGTGCTCATGACTGCGCCGAAAATCTTCTTATTTTCTACGAATGGACGATGACGCGGCGTGTCGGTCTCCACCTCTCATTTGCATGTTAGGCAACAACAAAGTCTTGTAATTTTCAGTGGCGCGGAGAACAAAGGAGGAAAAGAGAATTCTCGACGGGCCACTCATCTTGCAATTAGCACTTCATCGCGGCCAAGGATCCGCACAAAGGAAGCTTCTTTGCTGCTCGCACCAGAAAAGACAGACTGGAAATTAAAAGTTTTTTCGATCGGTTTTGGTTTCGAGTGCTTTAAAGACTTTGGCTTGGCAAGAAAACTAATAGAAAACAGGTTTTTCAATATCTTATTAGTTAATTTCAATTACAGACTTTATTGGTTAATTGACTTGCAAATTGATTGAACACTGAACAGAGCAAATCGCGCAAAGATGTAACGTTAACTCACAATTAAAATAAATTTGAGAAATATTGCAGTCAATATTTTATTATGTAGAATTTTCTGCAAAATATGGATAAATATTTTTAATAGTATTTAATTCATAACAATTTTAATCCTGCTTTTTAAAAACAATTATTTTCCAATGACACAGTCGTTCAACTGTTTACTTTTTGCATTTTTAACTAACTGCTGCCTACTTGTGTTTTCATATTAATATCTTCCCATTCAAGTAAGCACAGGTCCAGCAGGACATTCTTAAGTAGTTCAAAATTTTTGAACAAGTGAAAATTTTCAAGGAGTGGAAGAAGTACTGCTGCAATAGATAGAATTGCAACAAATCGCTTGAAGGGCCCCGCAAAACGCTATGACAATTGCAGACAAAAGAGAAGCTCCAGAAACTACTTGCACTGATACTTCACTTTTATAATCTTCGTCTTTACCCAACTGCTTTGCTCTATCTTTTGCAGAATCAATTGCATACGCATATTTATGTTTTGATTTTTATTTACTTGCAGTATTAAAAAATTCGGATATTTTTGTTCCTCAAGATAAATTGAAAACAGAGTGTTGCATTATTTAGTTTAATATGCGGAATTTTCTGCTAACAATAAGGAAGGAATACCACTTGACCTGTGACTGCAGCATAGCATATGGCAAACTTTTCTATATCAACTGAAAAATGAGCGTATTTCTTTTGATATTAAATTGCAATACAATTTTAAAAAGATTTATCAACTTAAATTAAGGTTTGGCACGGTTTGGCATGTAATTTTAATTTGTCGTGAATACAGAGACAAAAAATGCAGAAAAAAATTGTGACAGCAATAATTATGTAATGGAAGGTCCTCGCAAAGAGCGGTTTTGCAAAAAATAAAATCAACAAATAAAACGTAATTCCTCCGGGTTTAATGTGTGTTTTGCGTGGACCTTCTGGCTCGAGTGTAAAGCTCATCATCGTTCAAGGTGACGGCGAATCAATTACAATGTTCAAATAGAGCTCCTCGAGAGTTAGGCAAGCGCGTGTGTCTCAAGCGAGCAGTTAATTCATTCGAGAGTTGGCCCCCTCTCGAGGCTCAAGGCACAAAAAGTTTCCTTCTGCCGGGAAGGCCCAGCAGTTTTCTGGATGATGCTAGTCTGAAGGTTGCTTCTGTCAAAGTGCATCCTCTGGCCGGGCAGAGAGCCGGTCGCGAGATGACAAGTCGGAACAATCGGACGCGACAGCCCTCACGTGGATGTAAAATGACACGCGCCCTCGTTCTGCCCTTTTTGCCGTTGGTGAGTGCACAAGTGTGTTGCTTTTCCATGAAAAAAAAAAACTCTCGCAAAAGAAGTTTCCTCTTTCGAAATTCTTTTTGATACAAGATGCCGTTAAAATGTTTTTCCAACAAACGCCCACGTTTTTAAACAAACTGTTTTCCTCCTCTTTTGAATTAAATGTATATTAATGGAACATATAATTTTTTTTCATAAAGAAGAAAACAAAGCAGGAACAAACTTCACAAATTTGTGCTCATTTCGCGTTTAAACTTTTTTCACACACCTCAAAAAGAAAAGGAAAAACAAGAGCTTATTAAAGTTGAGAGAGCATATTTTCCAATTATTCCTTTGCTCGAGTTAGCTCTTCAACTCTTTGCCCCTCTTGGGCACGACCGTCTTTCACTGCGGTCCTTTTTGGCGCGCTCTCTTTTGCGTTCCCTCGGACAAGAAGCAAAGGGGTGCCGCAGGATGAGGCGTTGACAGTTATTCGGCAAAGTTTTTGCGCAGCCACTTGCGGCGAGAGTGAGAAGAACTTCCTTACTTACAACACACGCGAGGCCAGTTTGCTCTCTTTTCGCATGCACGCATGCATGCCTCAAAGTTAATGCCAGGCGCGTGCTGCAAGATGCATACAGTACGTCCTCACGAGATGAGTTTCTAAGGCGAGATAAAAAATTATCGGTGTCTTGGCTAAGGCGCATAGGTCGTTTCCATCTTGAAATTGCCAATAGAGTTTTGCAGCAAAGGCGCAGGGAAATTACTAGGGCGAAAGAATTGGAGGTTTCGCTGCAACGCCTTGCAATTTTTGTGCAACACTCCAGTTTGCATTATAAAACATAACAAGCTGAAAATTATATACTTTTTTTTATTTCATAGAAGAAATATATGGAATGAGGTTGTAACTTTATCTTATAATAAGGTAGTATGTGAACATTATTTTGAGATAAGGATCTGGCTATGATATGAATATGCAATGAAAATATTACATTAAAATTCATCTTTGGAGTTAACACAAGACAATTATTTTGTGCGTACACCTGACCTAAATTTACAAATTTTCTAATTAATATTTCTAATTAATTGTACTATTCAAGTTTTAAAAAGTTAAATTTTTTTCATATGCATTAAACATATCAAAGTTAATTTTCATTTGAACCCATTGCGATATCTAATTACTAATTAATTTTGTCTGAACGAGAAAGGTCAAAGCTGGCTACATTTTTGTAATGTGCTCACATTTCACTTTTCCTTTAAATCTGCTTTAATATTTTTAATTTGAAAACATTTGAATTGAAAAAAGAGGCAAATTCTTGTTACAATTATTTATAGCTCTCGAATCAGACCATTTCGGACATTTTGATCAGTGCACCAGCGCCTTTGACAAGGCAGATGCGCTCTGATAAAGCCAGTTTAACAAGTGGCCTCTTTTTTGTCAAAGGTAATCCGTTTAGCTGCTAAACAAATGCGATATCCATTGAAATGCACCCATTAACCGGCGGGACTCTTTGTTAACTGGTCACTTGGCAACCATGGTATTTGCCGAAACATCCCTTTGACGCTCGCATTTTAATTAAATTTTGCAAATCAGCATTGCCCCGCCGTTTTTGTTTTGTAATCCCCAAATAATTATGTGCGAGTGAAACCCCAGCGGCTATGAGTTCTGTGTGCTGCGCAAACACTTCCTGGGCGCCGCCGAGAGATTACAATTTTGCGTGAAAAGATGTGCTGGTCCGCGAATGTATGTGATAGCCAGCGAAGCTTTGCGTCTCTTTCGCAAAGGAGATTTTTCATCAGCAGCAGCCTTAATTAAATTTTATTCGTCTGTTGCGACTCTCCGCTAACCAGGAAAAAATGACTTTTTGAGGATTTAAAGCGCAAAGAGAAAAAGAGGCTCAGCCTTTTGCAAAAAGTATTAACAACAACGCATTTGAAAAGTAAGAACCGAGTTAAAATTTTTTAAATGTAGTTCTGCAGCTCGTTTACTTTCACAAATGATTATTTCATTATTTGAAGCTTAAAAAATGTTTTGTGTGTGAGCCGTGTAAATAAGTTAGATTTATTTAAATTATTTATAAGGCAAAGGGACTATAACCATAAATGTGGGCCTTCCCTTCTTTGTTGCTAAGATAAAGGCATATCACAAAAAGGACCTTTTTAAAGGCTCCAGACTTAGCCGACTCTGTAAATAGTTAAAAATGCACTGCGTTGACAATAAAAGTTATCCTGGGCCGGGCGGCTTGAATTAATTTTGAAATATTTATGGAAAGCGTTCATACATTTGCGCTATCCTCTCTAATTTATCACAAACGTTTGCCAAAGTATTGTCAGCACAGAAAGCAGAAAGGAAACGTTGAGTGGGAATAAAATAATTTATATTGCAGTATCAAATAAAAAAAATCAATTAATAACACCTTCACTTTGAAATTTGGAATAATTTTTGCGGTTATTCTAAATCCGAGATTGATTTTGATTTACAAAAAAAATGTTAATATAATACCATCGACAGTATCGATTATATGGAGATCAGATAATTTGAATTCCCATGTAGGTTAAGAAATTCAATTTAAAAATTTAATGATATCGATGAGATTATAAAAATCTTTCAAATAAACAGCAACAATAATGATTAAAATAAAAGTGTTTCAATACTCTTCAATAAATAAATAAATAAACTCATGAAGGGAGTTTGGCAATATTTAACACTAGTGCTTCAATGTTAAAAGTGATTTAATTTCCGTATATAGAAGAAAATTCATTATTATGATATGTATTAACTGGAAAAAAAAATTAATTTGCAGCTTTTTAAACACATACGTCAGGTAAGATAATGTCAACGATACAAAAATATCTATAATCTCTACATATTTTTTCTCGGCCTTTCCATTCAAAAAATTTTTCTTTCATGTGACCCAAACTTCTTCCTATGTTATACAATCACTCCAATCATTCTTTTTTTTTCAGATGTTTGCGACATTCGCTGGTGGCGTGGGCGGCAAATCAATCCTCATGGTCACCATGGGGGGCACCAAGAGTCACACGGTGCCCTTTGCAGCACTCAGCAGGGCGCTTGCTGCTCGAGGACATAACATCACCATGATGAGCGCTTTCCCTGGTAATCGATCCGACTTTTTTTATTGGGTTTGAACAAATATTGACCCTATTGCACATGACATGCATGCAAAATTTATCTGGAAAGAACTGCAGGTATAGCGAAATAAAATGTTTCTCCACAACTCTGCAAGCTTGTTCTGATTAAAAATATGAAATTAAATTTCCATAGCACATTTGCTTGCAAACGCCAGGAGCAATGCAAAATATGTACATAATTTATTATTTTTTTTATGCCATTGTTTATCTTATGCAAATTATATGCCGCAGGTTGCTATTCTTTGCTGTTGCTTTTTTTTTTTTACAAGGGAGGCATATTTTTGCAGCATTGAAATATGATGGAATTCACTTGCCCTGCAAACTCGCAACTATTACATCAAACAAAATTATTTTAATTAAAAAAAAAATATTCTATTAATAATTTGTAAGGCAAAGAAAAGAATCCATGGGAATATCTGAAAATTCTCTGTCACTCTCAGCCACCTTTACAAAAACTGCAATTTTAAATTTTGAGTTAAGTGATCAAGCAACAATCTTTTTTTCGCAATAAATATTTTATTAACTGATATGAAATATCCAAGCAATCTTAAATTTAACATAAAAAATGTTTAATTCACCTATAGCTCAAGCTAGAGTATGTTGTTGTATCGCCCTTATATTTCTTTCTCAATAAAGGTTTTAAAAAATTTAAGGGGAAAATTGCCATTTTGCTACATAATTGAATTTTAAGAAAATAAAAATGTACTTTTTTATTTGATCTAAAAAAATGTATTTTTCTAACCATCTACTTTTAAAATTTAGCGTCTTTTTTCATCAATATTTTCCATTATTAGGCGTCGCAGAAGACGCCGGGGCTGAAGAGCTCTGTCCCGATGGCTTGGTGGGGTACGTGAAGGACTTTACTAAGGACTGGGACCTACTGGGAAGCAGAATGCATGGAGAGCCACCCATATCACCATGGCGTGCCTTGCAGTACGGCTACCAAGTTTGCGAGGCCACTCTTTCCGATCCAGAGGTACGATGGGTGCACTTTTATGGCAGAAAAGTAATTTTGATCAATCAAAAGCACTGGCGCGTTGTTGTAATTGCATAAGAAACTTTTGAAACTGTAATCAAAGTTTTCTTGAATGCTGGTCTTGTCCACAACATCGAATGATTAAAATATATTTAGCGCTGTCCACAATGTCCCCTTCAGAAGTTTATTTAAAGAAAGAAGGTTAATTTTTTCACTTCAGTATTGGATAAAAATTAAATACAAGTTTATTTAAATACTTTTTCCAACAGTAGAGAGTTTATCCTTTCAAGCGCGTATTTCTTGACTGAGAATAACGTTCTTCAGATCAGAGAAATAATATACCACTTGTGATACAAATGCATTTTGCTAAAATTATATTCTAATGTCAACCAAACAGATGCAACAATTTATGAGATCTGGACGGGTTTTCGACCTTCTAGTTCTAGACGGCGCATACAGTGCGTGTGCCCTTGGTTTGGTGCATCACTTTTCCGCACCCTACATGCTTATCAACACCGTAGGCCTCTACCTAGCACCCCTCGCCGCACTGGGAAACCCAGAGCCCTTTGCGATCACGCCCTTCTTCAACAGTGGATACACCGAAAACATGAACATTCTGCAACGAATGGCCAATGGCGCTGTTCATCTCTTCTGCAGGTCTCTTCACTGGATCCTCATCTCCACCACCATTCAGCCAACTCTGAACAGACTCTTGGGCCCAGGTTTGAAAATCTTTTTATATTTTTGGGGAAAATCATACAAATTTTCTCACTATAAATTTTTTTAAGTTTTTCATTAAATGGGAATATTTTTATGATAACAGATAATTAATTTTATCAAAACCAGGTTGCAAAATTATTAATTTGTTTTATTCCCATAGTTGCCACCACTTTCTTTTAGCTGTTTGAAATATAATCATTAGTTTTTATCCACATACAATTTTTTCTCTTTCGTTAAATGAAGACTTAACACCCATTTTAAGAAAGTGTCTAAAAGTGCAGTGCAAAATTTAAAAAAAAAAAAAACAAAAAAAAAAAACGACCATGAGTAAAATACTATATTTCTTTTCTTTTATTGGCGCTCAATCTAATTTTGACGCATGGAAAGATTTTTAGCATATTATTTTATTATATTTTATGTTGAAGCTTCTGTTCGCCTTCCACAAAACCATTTCATAAGCACTAGTGTTGTTTCCTTGAATATCTAAGTGAGTGCAACTTAATAGTATTTCAAATAGAGCTTGCTTCCTTTACATTTATAAAGGAAGCAGAGAATCATTTGTAGCGGCATAACTACATAACAACGTCGTTCCCGCGGGTATTTCTCATTACCTCTTGTGCTGAGCTCAAATTGAAACTCTACCCTTTTGATGCTCTGAAAAGTAAAGCGCACCTCATCTTTAATAATATTCGTTCAGGTGTATTTTTCCAGGAAATGAGATGCCATTCGTAACATTAAAGCAGTTTACCTGATGAGCAAAATATTCATAAAATAAAAAAAACTGCTATTTTCAACTTTAAAATAAAGAAGCTTTTTCTTCCTCTTTCATGCCCTCATGATTGCATTTATATGAAGTACTTTTTCTGGTCTCTTTACCATTTTTATAATTTTTAAAAAGACCTTTTATATTGTCTATGGTATTATATCAACCACAGAAACAGCATTTTAATTCTTTTTCTCATTATATAAAATTTAAAGAAGCAGATAAAAAGAATAAAATATTGTATGGTGACAAAAAAGCTTCTGGAATTGTATGTGCAAGTCGACGGCAAATACCGTTCCCACCACCATTGCGCAAAAATAAATAATTCCGCAGGCTTTTTATTTAAAAGTTTCGAGTGGCAAGCTTAACTGGCCCATCACCGAATCGTATTGCCCTCTACAGACTGGCATTTTGTTCCTCTGTCTAACTAACTAGCATTTCGCGTCCCACACAGGAGTGCCGTCCGTGTTGACAATGCAGAGGAACGCTAGTTTCGTCTTGCAGAATGGCCACTCGTCGCTGACCTACTCGAGAGCGTATTTGCCGCACGTGGCCGAGGTCGCTTGTCTTCACTGCAGACCTCCAAGACCGTTGCCTCAGGTATTTTTTTTTGCAACTCTCGATCAATTCATCGTCATTGGTAATTTCTTTGTTTATTTTCACTTGTGACGGAAAAAAAACTATTAATATTTTAGTTCACTTTGATCTTTCTGATTATTCTCCTCTACTTTTAAGTTACAGATCACTTATTATTGTTATCTACTTTCCATTCAAATTGTTGACACTAAAGAGTAATTAATTTTAAACTCATCGAGAAAGAAAGGAAATCGTTGATATTAATTTATTTCTATAATTCTTTCTAAAGTTACAAAATACGAAAAAAAAAATACAGGCTGACTGCGTAAAATTAAAATTTTAAATCAAAAATGTTAAAATATCTAACGATTTCCAATTTTATTTTTATGTTTTTAGTAAGCCAAAATAAATGTGCGAGCGTTTTTAGTGTTTTTTTCTATTTCATGCAATTTTTGCCGCAATTTGACGTGTCAAATTCATTAAATTTCTATCCCTGGCAGGACCTGGAGCGTTTTGTGTCTGAATCGGGTCCCGAGGGCACCATCGTGGTCAGCATGGGCTCCAGCGTCAAGGCAGCCGCGATGCCAGCCGCACTGCGTCGCGTGTTTGTGGCAGCGTTTGCCAAACTCCGGCAAAGAGTTATTTGGAAGTGGGAGCACGGATACAATTCCAGCTTCCCCGAGAATTTGCCTGCGAACGTCCATCTGGTCCAGTGGCTGCCGCAGCAGGACCTCTTGGGTAATCATGTGCCTCCAAAAAGTCCCACTAACGTACACGCGTGCGGTCTCTCTATAGTTTGCGAATCGGCACTAGGAGACTCGTTTTCCATTCATTAACCAACTGAAAGCGCCGCCACCGAGAATTTTCCCTAATGGATTGATGCGATTTAGCGAATTATACTAGGCTAATCTATCAGATTCCGCTGCGGTCGTTGCAAAATAATATGCAAACTCGTTTGTTGCCACATGGAGTGGATTCAAACTAATTGTCAGTGAATTATTTAATGCATTAAATTACGCTAACAGACAGGTGTTTATTCCATTTAATCACATTTTATATGATGTTGAAGCACTCTCGAAACGCAAATTAAATTTTTGCAAATAGTTGCTCCTTTTTTTATAATAACAGAAAAAATTTGAAAACCACAAATTATTATTTTTTTAAATTTAGAGTAATTAAAAATTAAAAGATTGTCAAAAAAATTGATTATAATGTTAAGACTTCCAAGAGAATCTGGATCTTTAGAAGTTTGACTTCTTTTTTTGCGCTTCTGCACTAATTTGTATGTAGCTTTAAAACTGAACGGGAAAATGATAAATTGATATGAGTCTGATTATTACGCATCTGCGAATTCTCTGTGGTAGTTTTTCCTCCCTTTTCAACCCAACTAAATTTGCGGAAAAATTGCAATGAATAATTTAAAAATTGCTACTCTTTTTTGCTCAAAGAGTGAAGCTAAAATTTATAGACTAAAACGCTCACCATAATAGCACAAAAAAAAATTCAAAAAGCACGAACGAGTCTATTATTATTCGTTTTAAAAACACATGTTTTTATAGGGCCTAATTTAAATTCGTGTTCATTCTGGTTATTTTGAGCTACGCAAATGCAAAAGGTCCATTTTTTAGAGTTCAAAGGACGTCACAAAAGTTTTCATAACTATTTTTTGTTTTACGTGTTTTGAATAATATAGAGCATAAAATTTTTTTATTCATAAGTATTTAAAAATTTTCAGGGCATCCAAAAGTGGTGGCTTTAGTATCTCACGGAGGTTTGCTGTCAATGTTTGAAGCCGCTTATCACGCTAAACCAGTGATCATGCTTCCTGTCTTTTGTGACCACGACGCAAACGCAGCTAAAGCGGCTGCTGATGGATACGCAATCAAGATAGAACTGCAGGGTATAACCGCCGATCTTCTTGCTGCCGCAATCAACAAAGTTATAAAGGATCCCAGGTAATAATTTTTTTCATCTTTTTCATAAAATTAAGGATTTGTTAAAGTTTTGATGTGTGTCACTGATATTCTTATTTTTTTAGTTGAGAATTAGTCATTGGAAATATTTTGGTCATACTGGGTCATATTATGTGTGATAATTTGAATAATTATTTTGTCAGCAAATGACTAGGTAACAATTTTTCATATAAATAAAATTATGTGGTTGATACTCTTTTTCTATTTGCATCTTAAATGGGAAGCTTAAAAAATACTTAATAAATTGAAACTGATGGATTTGAAGATGTACATTTTTTTGCTTGACTGTTCACTTATTGTTAGATTTTTTAGTAAAAAAATGGAAAAAATTTACAATTAAAAAAAAAAAAAAAATTAGTCAGCATCAGTAACAAAAAAGAATTGAAAATAATTCATATCATTAAAAAAACTATTGATTTTTCAACGTTCCTCAACGTCTTCCGCAACGCTGAGAATGGAAAATTCATTTTAGAATTTTAAAATACCTTACAACATGATAAATACATTCTTCCCTTTGTATCCAAAAATTTCACCAAAATCATGCTTCCAAAATCAACAGCAGCATCATTTGCACAACACATAACGGTGAAGGCAGACCTTTTCAGTTCCTTTTTTTTGTGTTCGCAGCAGCATACATACCTTTGTTCTGCTTTTCCGGCTACAAATTTTCAAATCCCAAACACAATAAAGTTACATTATATATGGGACGTTGAACGCTCCTCATCAACTGTTGGCAGACAATCAGGCAATCTCAGCGCGAAATTCTCTCCCAAGTAGATGGAATAGTTGGAACTGCTCTGGAAAAGCAGTTGAGTATTAGGTGGGACCCTCTTTCTTTTCGCAATTAAAGCAGCACGACATTTCCGCAGACAAAAGGAGCAAAAGAAAATAACCTGTCGTTGACAGATTCGCTTTCCTGGCGCAGATATATGTTACGTTTGTAAAAGAAAATAATGCACAAATGGGAAACGACATCGTCAAAACGGTTGAGCTGGTCTTTTGTTGGTTGACATAGACAATCAATCAGTTTGAAGAGGATTTTTCAGATTTGTAAATTATAATGGTATTTTAGTTCAAGTAAAAACTTTTTGATTGCTTTATATATAGCTTAGTTAGTTTGACTTTGTTAGGGTTAGCACCAAGGTCCGCGCATCAGCAACAATGAAAAAAGTTTTGATTGTTGTTTGAGCTCTCTGATTGGGTACAAGTAAAGTTGTACCCAATCAGAGAGCTCGGCAACAATCGAAATTTTCTGATGAGCGGACCTTGGTTAGCACTGTAGATGAGGCACCACCAGATAATATTTATTTACTTAGGAATCATATAACTTTAAATTTAATAAATCGTCGGCATAATTTATTAGTTTTAGCATTTTATTTTTTGGTTCAAGCGACGATGTTATTAAAATTGAAGAAAAAAACAATTCCAAGACGCATTAAAAAACTGAAATATTAAAAAAAAAAATGAAGTTTTGTATAATATTTTACTTTGTTACTTTGACGTAGCTTCAATTTTGATAAAAGCTGAGAATTTTTGGCATTTCAATTAATAAATTACATGCAAATATTTATTTTCATTTTTCATTACAGATACAGGCAAAAAGCAGAGCTGCATTCATCGTATTTGCACGACCAGCCAATTACCCCTTTGAAAAGTGCCGTATATTGGACGGAGTACATTCTCAGACATAGGGGCGCACCAGAGCACTTGCAAGGTGAATCGACATTTTTACACCAAATGCATTTCATTTCCCGTGTCAGAATGAATAATGGATAGCAGTGATTTGCTTGCGGCGCAGCGCGACGATATTTAAAAGAGTTTTTCATTTTTGCATAATCCGAGCAACAGCATTTTCCTCGTTTTTCCAATATTTTCGACCCACATACACGGGCTCACCAGAACAGCGCGTTTGCAAATAAAGTGCTTCAGCGTGAATTTTAACGATCTGAACAGAAGCTTTCCAAAATCGTTTACATTATACAAAACTTTTGCCTGCAGGTGCGGCGATGCGTGATCTGAGTGTGATCCAATGGCTCTATTTGGACGTCCTGGCTCTGCTGTTGATAGCGTTCTGTGCCATTCGGCGAATCGCTGCGCTGATTAGTAAAAGTGCCTCTTGCGTGAACTGCATAGCCAAGAAATTAAAGCAGCACTAAATTATTTATTATTGGTGTTTGTATCTCCTGCGACTGATGTATTTTAAATTATTTAATATGTGACTTGCTACCATGAAAAAATTTTTCTACCATTTACAAGATTTTTATTTTTTACTAATTTAGAATGTATGAAATAATAATATTTAAAATTAGGCAAAAAAAGGTTATATTTTTTAACAATTCGTTAAAAAAACTTAAATATATTAACACATTTTCAGTGTAAAAAATGACATAAACAGATTGCTGATGTGCATATAATTTTTTAAACACTGTAAGAATCAAGGAATTGTAATAAATCTTCTCTGTATGTTTTGCTGTAAGTCTATTTAAAATAATTATTGAAAATGAAATAAACTATCACGAGCACAGCGAATACCAGTTGAGTTTTACATATTATATTATACACATTATTTTTTTATTGGTTTTTTTTGCCAGTTTTTGGAAGCAATTAAAATAATCGAGGGAACGGGAAATTAAACCAAGATGAAATTTATCAATTACATGATGAAGCTATACACGCGATTATATATGTTTTATGGCCGTTAGTTCCGCTACGAAAAATGCCAAATCGCACAAGGTAAAAAGATGCTCACTGTCGGTCGCTCACAAAATAATGATGCCCTAGACAAGGATGAAGGAGCGTGTCACATTTCAATTCAGAGCCATGCAGTGATGGCTGAGGCACAAAGGACGACAAAGTTCTCAAGTACTTATGTTAAACTGAATTTCTCATAAATTTATTTTTACTTTTTTTACATAAATTTAGTTCAATTAGTATGAAAGAATGATCATATCAGTTATTCCAGTTATAAAAATATAAATTAAATAATAAAAATAATACTTCATGATTCGCATGAGATAAATTAGCCTGCATTAATACCTTTTTTTAATAATTAATTTAAAAAAGGAAAAAATATTGAATTTTACAAAAATAATATTTTGAGAAAATCAATTTAATGTCAATGAGAACATGAATTTTTGGTAGGTCACTGCGACATCTAGCAGCGGTGGCTGGAACAGTAACTAAATAACGGTGCTTAAACGAAAATTTCACTTTTTAAACGCTCAAATCTATGAAAAAAGGAACTAAAATTATTAAAATACATCAAAAACTTATTATCCCTTGTTTTGGATCGTTTAATTTTCCTTTTTCTGAGTCATTTACAAAAAAAAATTCGGATTAAGCACTCGGCTTAAATGTCTCAAATGGATGCCATTGACATACTTCCATTGACCTACATTCTCGGTCACGAATTAAGTCTACTTAATGTTAAATATAAAACTAAGTATCTAAATCTTTTGGTAAGGTAAAAAAATTTAGTAATTTTGCAGACAAAACCGCTTCGAAATAAGTAGAGATTAATGAGATTTTGCCTATTTAAAGGTGATTGAATTCACAGATTCAAATTTGGCGCTCTTTCTGAGAGACCACGCGAACAGCGGCCGAGGCAAATTCTGGGTGAGACACAGGGCGAAAGCTGCAGCTTGGTCGCTCAGTGTCTGCAATCGAGAGGGAAACCGCGCGGTTTCGTGCAGGACACTCGCCGGACAGTGTGAGGAAAGCTCGGGGACAGCGAAGTCGCGATGGTGTTGGCTGAGCGGGGTTCGGACAAGCTGAGGAATGGGGGTCGCTCGCGGGGCACCAGCCCCAATGGACACGCGAGCGAGTCCAGCTCCGAGGAGGAGCGAGGTGAGTGGAGTAAGTAGCCGACTTTTCTTTTCCTTTGCTACACTCGCTTTAAATTAAGCTCGGGCTTAGGGCGGAGGGCTTTCGGCGCCCAGCCTTCGGCCGCCGACCTTCACCTTTCGGCGCCGCGACGCCCGCGACCGTGGAGCTGCAGCTTCCGGTGCGCTTCCGATCTCCTTTCGCCCACACGTTGCGAGGCGCAGATTTTACTTTCCATTTGAACTTTCGAGGCTACGGCTCTCGACTGCGTACGAGAAACGTATTCTCAACATTTCAAAAAGAGGCATTTTTTTATTATTATTTTTTTTTCCCATAATGCTCACCTTGTTTGCGCATTAATTTATAACTACTTCGAAGACTACGTGCATTTTGCCGCGTCCATAGGAGAGAGGCCGGGAGGGATGCAGCTGCTGCACCGGTGCATCCTTACTTAACTTACTTAGTCATCATGATAAGACAATAATTATTATCCAGAGGATCAAGTGATTCACACTATGAAATTTAAATCTCAGTAATTTCCCTCGCAAAATTAATTTGAAAGAGAATAATCTCATTGATGTGTTGGAATTTCCTCTTGATAATATTAAAAAAAATGTTTTGTTTTTATTATAGTTGGCGATTATTTTTCTTGTCAGGCGTTAAAAAATTTTTCAACGAATAAACTAATTTTGTCTGTAAATTGAAAGAGTGATAAATATTTTAAATTCCATATTTAAATAAATTTTATGTAATTTGCAATGCTCAATTTCACCATGGGTGTCATTATTATTATTTTTAAGTGATTAAATTTCCCACTATTTATCTGTTACAGAGGAGAAAATTCGTGTTGGCAGAGACTATCAATGCCAAATCCCTGCATACATTCCACTCTCAGGTTTGTTATTCAAATAATTATAAATTATTAATTAAAAAAAAAAAAAATTTAGAGAGAAAACCCGAAGAACAATGCTTTGAGCGAGCCCTTCTTGTTTGGTCTCCAGCCAGTGGCACAATTTCCGATCAAAAACGTAAGAATTTTTATTTTAAAATGGTCACTGCCTTTCTCAAATTACATTAAATTATAAAAAAAATTCAGTGGGAAAGCTATTTTTATTATATTGATTGCAATATTTTCTTGTTCTGCAGTTGACGACTATATAACCCTAGCAAAGGAAAAGTATGGCTATAATGGTGAGCAGGCACTGGGAATGCTCTATTGGCACAAACACGATTTGGAAAAGGCCATCCTCGACCTTGCAAACTTCACACCGTTCCCTGACGACTGGACTGTCGAAGACAAAGTCCTCTTCGAACAAGCATTCCAGTTCCACGGCAAAAGCTTCCACCGTATTCGCCAAATGGTAAGAATTTTTAGTCACATTATTACTGCAGAAATTTAAATTATTTCCTGCAGCTACCAGACAAGACAATTGCCAACTTGGTGAAGTATTATTACTCTTGGAAAAAGACGAGAAGTCGGACAAGCCTGATGGACCGTCAGGCGCGAAAAATGGCTGCTATGCGGGAGGAGGGCGGCAGCGAAGTTGGTTCGGAACTTGGGTCCAACACCGATTCCGACTCCGAGGACAAGGTTGGAGGGGTGAGTGTCTTTGGGAGAAATATTTTCGCAATCTCTGTTTGCCACAGCTTGTTCTGTGCATTGCATTGATAACAGAATTTTCTTTATTTGAACCAAAACTCTGAGATACGAGTAAAAAACACGTTTATTATATTTTTCTTCAATTTGGAGTCGTTGAAATAATCAATGTAATTGTCAGGAGGTGAGTGTGTTTGAGTAGTTTTGACTTTAGACCATCTAAGGAATGCATGTGTTGGTCACGTTAAAAGTTTGCCTTCGAGTTCTTTGATAGACCCGATTGCACTTTTTTTGCCGAGTTAGAACCAAAAGTCTGCATGAAGAGAATTTGCAAACAGCAGCACTGAGAAAGTTGTAGCCGCTCCACTCAAATTCTCTTTCCCAACTTCAAATAGAGGCACTGAAGCAAAGTGATTGTATTTTTGCTTTTTATGTTACGTTTTTCTTGAGTTCCGGCCGTGCGGAGTCGGTTCAAAAAGACGCACTCGGCGCGGATCTCAATGTTAGCCGGATTTGACTTCTATTTAGTAACTTTTGGTATTGCTTGTGTATCAGAAATGGACAATCCACCGAGGCATCCGCCGCAATAGTCGGTCGCCACCTCCCAGAAGCGGAAATAATGACTCCGAGGTAACTTATAATTTATTAATTTTCTGTTCGCAAATAGGGGGCTAAAATTGACAACACAACTGTTGCTTTGAAGTGGTTCTTGTGGTTTTTTTGTGTTTTTATTTTTCTTGCTTTGGGTTAGTTTGTGGTGTTGGCTGGTGAATTTATTTTTAGACAAAAATCTGCGCAAAGCAGGTAAAGTAGAAGGCTGCTTATTATTAGTTATTGTAAGAACAATAAATGAACAGGACCACATTTCAACCATTTAATCATAAAACACTGCATGAGAAAATGTCAAATTTGCAATATTGCTTTTTTTAATTAGAATTTTAATTAAAGCAACTCTCATCTTTTTTAAAGAATGCTGCTTATTGATTTTTTAATCAATTATAATCCAACAATATTGTGAAAATCTAAGATTTTAAAAATATTTTCAGGGTGAAGGTGGTACGCGATCCTCCTGCAACAATTGCGAGATCAGCTGCAGTATGTTCCACTCTACACCCAAAGGATCTCTTTGCACAACTTGCTACTCATATTACAAGTATGTATCACACAAATTAATTAATACAGATTATTTTGGTCAAGGTTATGATACATATATCACGAATTCAAATTGCTATTTAAATATCATTGAAAGATTTTATTATAAAATTTCTCAAATTGACTCAATTTTTTTATGTAATTTTTAGGCGCACAGGAGGTTTAAGACCCACAACGGGGCCCATCCGACGAGAGGGCCGACCAATTCCACACAACATCCTCCGTAACAAGCGCAAACCACCCCGCGGCATGTACATCAACCATGACGACCTTGTTGGCATGGCCACCGGACCGGCCGGCCAGGGAGAGAACATGCTCAAGGCTATGGATAGAGAGATTGTATCTCTGAAGCGGCTGGTGCAGAACAACAAGCAGAACATCAGCTCCCTTAAACGGCACACCACAGACGGTATTAGTGACGTTCGACCTCCAGAGTCCAATACCAGGATCAACTCCAGATGGGCCAACGACGAACTTCTTCTTGCCGTCCAAGGTAATAATCTTTTCCGGCTATCTGAAAAATATTTTCAAATGAATACTCAGGAATCAGAAAATATGGCAAAGATTTCAAAGCCATTGCTGAAGTCATTGGAAACAAAACAGAGGCCCATGTGAGGAGCTACTTCATAAACTACAGACGTCGGTACAATTTGGATGCCGTTCTTAAGGAATTTGAAGCAGAAAATGGACCAATTGTTGAAGAGGAGAGGGACGAGAAGGTATACATTTAAAAGCTGTTATTTTAGGAAACATTTTATTCATTGAGTGATTTTTGCTCTAGATGGAGGTTGATGGCGTTTCCTCTGGCAGTGAGGCTGGCACTCCTGCCCCGCCCTCTCCTGTTCCACCTACCAGCAAGACGCTCAAGAACCCAAATACCCTGGCAACTGTGCCGCCAGCAAAATGACCTCGACGACATGCTCTTCTTGTCCTGAAAAATTCCGCTACGTGATTTTGAGTAACACGCCTCTGGTGGCGTTTATTTTTTTTCTGGATGTAAAGTAGAACTATTTATGAGTATTGACTTTCTTTGAACCAAAGCATCAATGATTACTGTATATAGGTAATTTTTCATGCATTGAGTTTCTTTGTTATAAAGAAATGACGAGAAACTAACTTTTTGCCTGATGCAATGAACGATTCCACCCCAAAATTTATTTTTTGTTTATAAAATTGTGCGCGCATGCCACTGATTTAATGAAATTTCCCCTAGTGGATGATGAAATTTTATGAAAACATTTAAAAAAAAAAAAATCAGAATCACAGGGTTTGCCTTAAATTTGCAGTATTAAAAATGTTGAAAATAAATCAGTTGCTGAGATATGTAATCATTAGGCACGCTGTACAATTTCTGTTGGAAAACACCAGTTTATCAGAAACTCCTCTAGTTGTAAAACCTAATGTAAATAGCTACTTTAATTATTTATTTTTGTCTTAGGCTGAGAGTGTACCTCCACTAATAATCACATGATTGATCACATACAACAAACAGTCTTTTATTCAGCATAAATATTCGCCAGTTCATTCCCCTTATTGTGCAAACATCTTTGCAAAATGTAAGAAAATTTGAATATTTTAGAGGCAGTCTGGCGAAAAAACCAGTTAGGTTCAAGGGCAACCGAAAAATTATCACCTTGTAACACCAGAGATGCGGTTGTTTTATATTCCAAACCTGTTCGTTTTTATCTTTTAGCATACGCCATTTTTCGAAGAAGTGAATACATTTTTAGCAAAATTCTATCCACAACTGTAAAAATTAGCAAGCCCATTATAGCATAAATAAGCTTAGGTGATAATTTATAATCCGCTATAATCATATACACGCAAGAAAAGAGCGCGTCGGGTTAATATCGTCGCTCATTAAAGACGTCTTTATCATTCAAAATGCAAGCATGTTGTTTGTTAGTTTGGTGAAAGAGAGGATATACATGTGCCATCCGTGAGGCACGCCAAGCAGTGTCTCTTCAGTGCCCCGCGACTCGAGATGGGCACCACTCGACTTGTCTATTTATTAGCTTCCCTCATTGCGGTTGCCCACGCAGGATATCTCTACCCAAGGTAACCTTTAAAAGCGCTGAGTTTGCGATATATTTTTTATTTTAATCGTGTGTTTATCAAAAGAGAATCGGAGTTCAGAGAAATTAAATCCTTGGACGGCTTTTGGGATTTTTATATCCCGGCTAAAAATGACACTCGGCAAGACGTTGAGGATTTGCCAAAGCAAGGGCTCCCATATGGGGCTGTAAGTGGACAATTTTTCTTATTAAAAAGCAATATAATAGATAAATTTTTGCTCAAACAGGCAAAAATAATCAAAATGCCGGTGCCTGCCAGCTATAATGATATCACTGTGGAGGCCGATTTAAGAGATTACGTTGGCACCGCGTGGTACGAAAGGTCATTTTTCGTACCGTTGGCTTGGCAAAATCAGAGGGTTTACCTCCGCTTTGCAAGCGTACACTATTTGGCAACAGTAGTAAGAAAATCATGATTTAAAAATAAAATATGGAAGAAATTTTTCTTAAATTTTAATAATTTTTTTCTTTTTAATTAAATTTTTTTTAAGTGGGTGAATGGAGATTTTGTAGTGGAGCACGAGGGCGGCCACCTGCCCTTTGAAGCCGACGTGAGCACGGCGGTTGTATTCGGCCAAAGTAATAGAGTCACCGTCGCCGTTGATAATGTGCTGACCAACGTGACGGTGCCTCAGGGACAAGTGGAACTCATTTACAGCAGGTATATTGAGGAGGGCCGCGCCACTTCAATTGATGCGCTGGCAGAAAAGTTGCAAAGCCGCTTTAAGGCAAAGAAAGCACTTTCCCTGCCGCCAAAATATTCTCCTAATATGCTTCGAGCCGTTTTAGAATATTATAATTATAGAAAGCTGCTTCTTTTGTCTATTTGTTTGAAAAGATTTAATTGGGAACAAAATCCGTCTATATAGTGAGCCAGACCCGAAAGAAGTGCAGAAGTATACTTTTGACTTTTTTAATTATGCGGGCATCCATCGGCCAGTGGTGCTCTACACCGTCCCTAACTCTCACATCGCTGACATCAATACCACTTCGTCAATTACTCCGCAGCAAAATGGTATAAAAATTAATAAAATTTAACAAAAGTTGTAAGAAAATTGCTGCGGCTTTGAAGGTTATGACGCCGTAATCACATATGCAGTGGATATTGACGGCAATGAAGCCGGCGTCGGCTGCAGGATAAATTTGGTGGACGGCGACGGTGTCATCAGAGTATTCCAGCAGACTGGTTGCGAGGGCGTGCTTTTGGTGCCCAACGCAACCCTTTGGTGGCCGATCTTTATGCACCCAAGACCGGGATATCTTTACAGTTTTGAAGTATTATTTCAATTTTAATTTGGGAAAATGGAGATTAATTAAAAATAATTATTAGCTTCAATTCACATCAAGCAGAATTTTAAATTAACAATGCTTTATTTTTTTTCTTTCAAGGAAGCCTTCTTTGTATTTAAAAATAACTTTTTTGATTAAAAAAATAGGCCGAGCTAATTAGCGCCGACGGGGAAGTTTTTGACAAATATAGACTTCCTATTGGAATACGAGCTGTTTCCATGGACGGAAATTCACTCCTAATCAACGGAAAACCAATCTACATCCGTGGCGTTGGGAAACACGAGGACGCAGATGTAAATTAAATACATGTTTTTTTGTTAAAAAAAAAAAAAAAAACTATTTTAAACAAAATAAATTTCTAACTCTGTGCCATTGCAGATAAGAGGCAAAGGGCTGGATTTCCCGATCATGGCACGAGACATAGAGTTAATGAAATGGATGGGGGTTAATTGCTACCGGACCTCTCACTACCCCTATTCGGAAGAGAGTATGCAAATGGCCGATAAAGAAGGGTTCATGGTCATTGATGAAGCACCTTCAGTAAATACAGAGTACTAGATAATAATGCTTGCACCAAAATATGTACAACAAATTAATTACTTTTGTTAAGGTTTTATTCTGATGAGTTGAAGTTCAAACATGAAAGGGTGCTGGCTGAACTCATTAGGCGCGATAAGAATTACGCCTCTACGATAATGTGGTCGATGGCTAATGAACCGAGGACACAGCATAATGAGTCCGAGCCTTACTTCAGGTCAATGCACTAATTGAGATACCAGTCTTCCATGTACTAATTAAAAAAGAATTATATCTTAAACGCATACAGATATTTGCGAGATGCAGTTAGAGAAATGGATCCGACAAGACCTATCACAATTGTTATTGCCCAGCCATACACAACAGACGTAGCAGTATATTTTTTTTGCAATTTTTAAGAATTAGGATATTTCTGCACGTTTTTGCTTAGGGCCACTTGTGTGATGTACTTTGCTTCAACCGATACAACGCGTGGTACAGCAATGACGGGCGCCTTGAAACAATCGCCACCTCCGTTATTAGCGAGGCTAGAGCCTGGTTTGAAAAGAATGGCAAGCCGGTTATTATGGCAGAATACGGCGGAGACACAATGGTTGGTCTTCACAGGGTATGTTAAACTAATATTTTGAAATAATAAAATATACCAATAAACAATTCTCTCGACAGCTTCCATCTTTCATCTGGTCGGAAGAGTTTCAGTCAGATTTGTTGTCGGAGCATTTCAAAGCGTTTGACTTGTTACGCAGTGAAGGTTTCTTCATAGGAGAAATGATTTGGAACTTTGCTGATTTTATGACAAATCAAGGTTTATTTAATTTGGTGATAAAAAATTTGAAATTAATATGGGAATTTTCTAGATTATACAAGAGTTGGTGGAAACAGAAAGGGAGTCTTTACACGAGATAGGCAGCCTAAAGAGGGAGCATTTGTTTTGCGGCAAAGATATTTGGAGTTGGCGCATGAATTGGATCAGGCACCAAAACCAAAGAGGCGCTACATCCGAGTTCCCAAGCACATTATCGACGAGCTTTAAATTTTGAGGGAGACATTTCAAATAATTGTTTAACAGGCAACTTGGATTACTATTATGTTAAGGGTTAAGGAAATGCGCAAGATTAAAATATTAAAGCAATTTGTTGGAAAATTGACATGCTAATTTGAAATTTTTTTCTTATTGATTTCTCCCTACTCTGCGTATAAAAATGAGCGCTCTGAAGTAATATGAAAATATAGACTTCATACTGGAAACAGGGGAAATTTTATCATAATAATTATCTGAAAAATAATTAAGTAACTCTAAATTTTTTTCAGGAAACCACAGTAAAATAAGATTATTTAGTTTTAAACCGGTCTTGGTGGTAAAACCATAAAAGTGCGCACATAATTGAATTTGTATATCATTGGCCAGGCAAGCTCATTTATAATCACTAGTATAAGTATAACATGTTACAGTTTTAATTATGTGATTAAAGCCGTAAATTACTTAATTATTTTGTTAATATTATTATTATAGGCAGATTATAGGCGATAAAAGGTATAATTAATTTTTAATTTGCGAGTGATGAGCGACTTCATACCTTTTTACCTTCAACTGCAGATTAATAAATTTCAAAATATATAAAATGTGTAGGCAATGCTACAGATGGTCCCGCTACTTATTGGAGTGTTGTTGTTTTCATTCGGAGTTGCCCAAAAAGATGAAATGGAGTATTTTTCAAGCAACAGTTGGTGGCTGATGTTTGAAAATAATGGTAAATTAAATATTAGGTAGTTGCAATTGGTGAGTTTACTTGATTTTCATTTTTTTCAGTGGAAAATGAACAAGGAAATCGCGCATTTTGTTACGTTGCCGCTAACGGTGCTGAAAATTGCCAATCGAGAGACCAGGATGGCAATACAATGATGGAGGAGACATGCAACTGCACACTTAACTACATGGACAAAATAATTGATGGTGTTTTGGCCAATGACATGACAGTTACTTGCAATCCTTCACCTACAGGTAAAATAAAAATTATAATTTTTCCTTGGTGCGTCCTTAAAATAATTTAACAATTAACATTTCAATTTCTTATTTAGGTGGAAATTCTTGGGTGTCTACGTTTTGCCCTAAAAAGATATCAGTGATGCACAAGACAAAAATCAACTATAACAAATTTCAGCACCATATTGCCTCAAAGGATCAAATTAAAAAAGATCATTTTTGCGGCTCAAAATCAATGGTTGCAATTCTGGCAATTTTCCTTGCGCTTTCGGTCATTCTGAACGTTGTAATTGTAAGTTGTTACATAAAGAAAAAGAAAAATTAAGTCGAGCAAGGTGAATTGATTGAAAATGAAAATATTGAAAATAAATATGTGAGTAACGACATTGACGTGAGTTATGAGGGTGAAAAAATAAGGATGAAATCATTTCAAATCTATGAAGAACTTGAAGAATAGACCTTTTTTACTATTATTGGATATTGGGTTTTAATTTAAAAATATATCGCGTAGAAGAACTGCAACTTGTTATTAATTGTAAAACGTCTTCAAAAACTTTTAATCTCTTCCATCAGTCAGTTTAATCATTGATCTTTTTGTATTTTGACTCTGAACTGACAGTAAAATAAAGTGAAAAAATACTGTTGCCAGTTTTCTAACTTTGAAAATAGTTATATTTCATTTAAGCCCATTTCCCATTTTATCTGTTGTATTAAAAAAAAAATTATCAAGCTGCTACAAATAATTCAAATAATGTAATGAGATATGTGTAACTTGCGTTGTTCCGTAGTATATTAAGATTGTAACAGGAATTATTAATGCGGGACGCACGAATTTTGGATAATGCTGATTGTGAGTCTGAATATTGTCCTTTAGTTTTCCTTTCTTAAATTTATGTTATTTCTTTGTGGGTAACAATGAATTTAATTGGCTTTAAATAAATTGATTATTAACTTATAAAGTTAAAACCGTTTTCACATCTTATTGTTAGTAAACTATAATTTTTAATGAATGAGAATTGTGAATTTGGACTTTAGACAGCGATTGCAAAATGATGCATCGAAGAATAAATTCTTGCGGACAAATTCATCTTTGTGACTATTTCACTTAGTTAGATAAATTATTATTAAGAACGCCGTTAAAAAAAATAAAAATTAATAAATCATTGCAAGTAATATGTTTTAAAATGGAGATGGAGGGCATATTTAATAATTATATTTTAAAGATTATGCGGCTTACTATACAGAAATTCAATATATTTATAACAAATATTGATACTTGTGAAGTCATGAAATGAATATTTTTGAATAAAACAAAAAATATCTAAATAAATGTAAACCGCTCAAATATAATTGAGATTTTTAGCTGTACAAGAAAACGAGGAAATAAAAACCAGCTGTAAAAAATACATCCGCCTCTTTATACTTCTTATGGATAAGATTTTAACTCTATTGCTGTATTATTTTTATCATACATGCCTTATGACGCAGACGACGCAGTGTATTTTTCCTACACTCAAGCAGATAATGTATTTCCTTTTCAGTTCTTACAATTAGAATGGCAATATTGAATCTGGGAGCGTCCATCATTTTTAGTCTCGTAGTTTGGTGCAACTGCATTGAATTAAAAAATTGGGTTTCTGAAACCTGGAGTTGGCGATTGCTCATCGGAAGTAATGGTAGGAATGAATAACCTTGGGTTAGATTTAAAACCAGGGAGTGCTTGCGGCTTCAAAAGCTACTAGTGGTGAATAATCATGTTAATTTTGTTTCAAGTGAACAAGAGTCACCTGGATTACACGTTCTGCTATCAAGACGATTTTGAAATTTGCGATCAGTTTTCATTTAAACATAAAAAAATTCTGGAACGTAATTGCAGTTGCACCGTGTCTCTCACCAACACCAGTGGCAATGCTCTAAGCATGAATTGCACAGGTGATTTGTGATTTAAATTTATTTTCTAAAACAATTGGATACTTAATAATTTTATAAAAAACGCTCAAACGTTTCCTGTTGCATTATATGCTTCAATTTTGCCAATTTAACACGCTAAATTTAATAATTATCCATTATCCTGTATATGTTTGAGCTCTAAAATTAAATTTTGGAAATTCAAATAAAGTTTAATTTTCTCAGTTCTGAAAAAGGCTTTTCTATTTAACTATCAATCATTTAAAATAAAAAACTTTTCTTATAATACTGACATACACCATTTAATTCTTTTTTGGCAGGTATTAACACGATGGGATTTTGTCCACGTAATTTTAAACTGGACTATAAATCCGGCTCTAAAATCCCATCGACTGATCGCTCAACCGATTCATCGAGTACAAGTAATCAAACAAATCAAAGTGGAAAATCTTCAGTCGAGAAAAATAACGATTTGGGGGTAAATCTTCTCCTTGCTGTAGCTTTTATTATTTCTCTTCTAATCAATGTTGCTTTTTGCTATGGGAACAGAAAAAGATTTTATCCCCAAGCCTCAAAAATTTGTAGTCGTGTGAGAGCAGAGTCAGTATTAATTAATGCTGCTGCTCCAATAACCGAAATCAGTCCTTCCTGTGCTCTTTATGCCGAGGTCAATAAGAGCAACAATGAAGTAGGGGCTAACTCCTCTGTTTCGGTGGAAAATTCCATTTACGCCGAAGTGGTCAAGGCAAAAAAAGCAATAAACACGAAGGTTGAAAGTGATCCAGGCCAACCAAACGCACTTTACGCAGAGGTTAATAAACCAAGAATAGATAAAAAGCAATTGAGCGACCCTGAGGTGAGAATAGGGAGTGTAAAAAACAAAGAATCTGCCGGCGTTCGGTTTGAAAAACAGGAATCTAAAATATACCAGGAAATATTGTAAAAAGTATTTTAATGATATTCCAATTAATTCGATTTTTTATTCTTCTGAAAAAAAAACATCAAAATTTAAAAATCAGAATCAAAGAACAACATTTTAACCCATTTAACTACGCATTTAACAAATTTTTGTTTGATATGAAGCTTCATGGTCCTGTGGAGTATTATGGATCATAAAATTGTTTGAGGAACGAATAATTATAGATGAATAGATTATGTGTACAAATGTTTTGAAAAAATCGATAAATGTTGATTTTTATAAATCTAATTTTATTCCATTACTATGAAACTCAATATTTAGTTTATATTTCTTTAATATCAAATTCAATGCTCTCTCATTATTTTAATTTTAAGGGCTTCAATCTTGAAATTTAAAAAAAAAAACACTAATCTGCAAGCGCTGAGCCTAAGATATTGTAAAAAGAGAAAAAATATAATACTATATGATACACCGTTTTTAAGTTGTGCAATAAGCGAATGAAGATCATATATTAACAGCCAAGAAGTGTCTTGATATTTAGACCGTAATTACAGTTTATAATTTTGATGTAATTTCAATAAAGCAAATTATTTACTCTCAAAATTTGTTTAGTCTTTCATAACATTTCTTTGCATTTCTTCATACTTCATACAAATATTTTCTCACAAAGAGAGGTGTGCTAAATGACAGCATTTAATTGCACACAAGTCACACAACCCTTCATCTCGTGGGATATCTAGAGTTCCCCAAGACTATTGCAACCCCGATCAATTTGCCCACTGGAGTAAAAGAAGTAGCAGATTTATAATAAGACGGGAAGAAGAGATGTGTGTATAATGAAAAATTCTATTGCGGTTCATTTCGTGCTTTTAGCGCGCTGAACATTCAAAAGAGTCTGACGTCGACCGTCATTTGTTCTCGGCCCGGCCCACCCCGCCGACAGCTTGTTTTGGCAAATAATCATGGCGGCTGTTCCGATGGATCCGCTCCGGGAGCAATCCCTTGCTGATTACAGAAAGAAACTTTTGGAGCACAAAGAAGTCGAGAGCCGACTGAAAGAGAGTAAGTTCCAAACTTTATTTTGCCACAAAAATTTCGGTAAATTTTTACGTATTCGACAAAAAAGGGACCCTTCAAAATTCTTGCATGTCATCGACCTCTTTGCAAGCTTCAGCAAAATTATTTTTTCTCTTCGCAGTCTTCACACTGATAGTTTTAGTATGAAAAGTGTGAAATATTGACGTTTTAATTCATTTTTCAGTGCGAGAGCAGCTTAAAGAATTGACCAAGCAGTACGACAAGTCTGAAAACGACCTGAAAGCTTTGCAGAGTGTCGGACAGGTTTGTTAATTTACATAAATAAAAGTTACAATTTATTCAACTATCGCTTAAATTTACAGATAGTTGGTGAAGTTTTGAAGCAGCTGACTGAAGAAAAATGTGATTTTTAAGTCCTGTATCACAGAACGATTTGCTAATTTAATTTATTTCAGTTATTGTGAAGGCGACGAATGGGCCTAGGTATGTTGTCGGCTGTCGGCGCCAGTTGGACAAAGCCAAGCTGAAATCTGGTACACGAGTGGCGCTTGACATGACCACCCTGACGATTATGAGGTACTTGCCCAGGGAAGTGGATCCCTTGGTCTACAACATGTCACATGAGGACCCCGGAGATGTCACTTATTCCGAGATCGGAGGTCTAGGCGAGCAAATCCGAGAATTGAGAGAGGCAAGTCGGAATAAATTGTGCACCAGTATTACAAATTTAGGCCTGAATATTCATTCAAAATTATTAAATTATTTCATTTTATTCAAGAAAGTTGACAAGGATGGACGCGATCTCAAATTTTGTGACTGCGGTGAAATTTAAAAATTGTGCTATTGCGATCTCAAAATGTTGCGAGTTTTGCGATCAAAGATCAAATATAATTTTTTTTAAAACCCTTTCTAACGGTTTTTTTTTATCAATTCTGGTTTCAGAACGAGGAGTCAGCACAAAAATGAACTTCATAAATGAAAAGTCTTTGTTTAAGAAATTTTTCTTTAAAATTATCTGAAATCGCCAGTTTTTCTTCCAGATTTTGCATTATATCCTCCAATATTGAATATTAAAATTTCTTCCCGCACTTGCCAAAAGATCGCAAATGATCGAATGTGATTGATCACCTCTTGCGATTGCAAATGTGATCATATTTTCTTTAAAAAAATGGTGTGATCCTTTTGCGATTATGTCCATCCTTGAAAGTTGAAAGAAAATGGAGAATTTTAATTGCATTTTGACTGAGACGTACACAATAATAATAATTTATAACACTATGTCCTATTCCTCTAGCAAACTTTTAATAACTTGAATTACTTGTTATTTCAGGTAATTGAGCTCCCCCTTCTGAACCCAGAGCTATTTCAACGAGTGGGTATCACCCCTCCTAAGGGTTGTTTGCTCTACGGCCCACCTGGAACTGGAAAAACTCTCCTGGCTCGAGCCGTAGCCAGCCAGCTTGATGCAAACTTCCTCAAAGTATTTTAAAAACTATATTTTTAATTTTTAATGTAAATTAATTACAAATTGTAGGTTGTCTCTAGTGCAATTGTAGACAAATACATTGGAGAGAGTGCTCGTTTGATTCGAGAAATGTTTAACTATGCCAGGGACCACCAGCCTTGCATTATTTTCATGGATGAGATTGATGCCATTGGTAAATATCAAGATTATATATAAAAAAAGACTTAATTTGTACTTAATGTTTGAATATATGAATCGTCATATAATTTTTAGGTGGCAGGAGATTTTCCGAGGGCACATCTGCTGATCGAGAAATTCAGCGTACTTTGATGGAGCTTCTCAACCAAATGGACGGCTTTGATTCATTGGGACAAGTAGGCTATTGCAAGCAATGCCAATTTGAAACTTCAATGTTTCATTTTCTTTTTTAGGTAAAAATTATCATGGCCACAAACCGGCCAGACACCCTGGATCCTGCGCTGTTGAGACCTGGTCGTCTGGATAGGAAAATTGAAATTCCTCTGCCCAACGAGCAGGCTAGGTTGGAAATCCTCAAGATTCATGCAGGTCCAATTGCCAAGCATGGCGAAATTGGTGAGAATTTGAACTCATAATCTATCATGCTAAGCTGTACCTTATTAATTGTTTTTTATTTCAACAAATAAGTTAAAATTAGTGTTATTTCCTTTCAACTTTGATTGGATATATTTTAAGAATTAAATCAATAAAAATTCCTCTCTAATTTCGTTTAGATTACGAGGCAGTAGTGAAGCTCTCTGATGGCTTCAACGGTGCTGACCTGAGGAACGTGTGCACAGAGGCTGGTCTTTTTGCGATCCGTGCTGAACGCGAGTACGTAATCCAAGAGGACTTCATGAAGGCTGTGCGCAAAGTGTCTGATAACAAGAAACTCGAATCTAAGCTGGACTACAAGCCCATTTAATATGTCTGCTGAAATGAGCTGAAGAGACGTCCCGTGCTCCTGCTCATATTTACTTAGCGGGTGCTTCATGTACTCTGCTTCTCTGTTTGCATTAATTTAATAATAAATTCCATTTAAATTTGATATAAGCGTTTAAATTTTGAAAAGCTAAGTTGTAGTTTGTTGACGTTATCAGTTTTCATTATTTATTTAAAAAGAGATGAAAAATCATCATTTATAAATTTGAAATTGAAAACATCCAATTTAATTTTTTTGCAAGCAGCCACTATAAGCGTCTATGGAAGTGTCTGCGTTCTCGCATGACTTTCATTCCATGCCCAAAAGAAAAGCAGCAGACAAGCGCGTATTGTTCAAAAGTTTAATTGCGTGGCTATCGCTCTCGACTCTCGAGACCTAGCAATGCATGAACTTTATAAAGATGATAAATTCCTAAATCTTTAAATAAAAATTTAGATGTCACAAAAAATATGTATGGCTGAATGGTCAGGACCAGATTATTATCAACAACAACAATTGCTCTCGAGACAGAATTATCCCGAATACATAAGTGAGTCCGCGGATTTTATATAATTAAGTGCGTGGTTTTACCCTACCTTGGCGGCATGGCAAGAGTCTCTGGTCCATTTTGGGTCCTCGGCAGGTCGGCGAAATCCTCCGTCGGCTCACAATCGGCGAGATATGGGCTGCCGAGGTATCGAGACTTTGTTATCTTGCACTGCATACTTTCGCTTTCGCCCTCCATACCGCTGGATGGTGGCTGCTGCTGCTGTTGGGCGCTTCAATGAGAATGAACAGGTCAGCACAGGGATGAGAGGAGAAGGAGGAAAATACGCCGCTCTGGATTTATTGTTAATAATGAAATCTAAGATAAAATTTTTTAAGAACGCGTAAACTTAAAATATGCAAAATGCTAGCGTTGATTGATAATTCTAAAAATTTTAATTACATTGACTATTGACTTTGAGCAGTTTATCATGCATACGTAAATAAAATTCTGACGTCATCAAGCCTACGAAAGAAATTAGTATAATTATAGGAAATTTAATTAGCAAAATTGTCATCGTAGAGCGTTAATTTTAAAAACTATTCTATTTTTAAAATAAAAAAAAAATTCTCGCGGAAACGTTCATAGTCAAAATTAATTTAAAACTAGCACTATCAAAAAATACATCATTTTTTAATTTAATACTATCAATGCTGAAATTTTGATTATGTATTTAAAATTTACGCGTTCTACAAAAATTTTGTTTTAGGTTTAATTATTAAATCCAGCGCGGCGTCTCTTCACATTTTCTCGTGAATCGCTTCTCATCCCTGTGCTGACCTGTTCGTTCTCGTCGAAGCGCCGAACAGCAACAGCCACCAGCCAGCGGGAGGAATGTTCCTTGGTGGTGCGCAAGCAAATCCGCCCACCAACAAGACAGAGTTGAAGGTTGAAAAGAGCACAAAAATGGCGAAGAAGAGATCCAAATCCTTGTGATGTTTGGTGCCCTGTGTCGCCGAAATGAGCCGACGGAAGACTTCCGCTTTTTGCTGACAAATGCATCGAGGTGAACTGGATGCCCAGGTAGGTCAAAGTCCCATTTTTCTTTCAGATATTTCTGTATTTCCACTCAATTTTCATGTCACTTTATTGTTTGCGTTCCCGCCTGACATATATGTAGTTATTGCTTTTTTTGCCCCCATGAGGAAAATACCGGAAAATTCAGTTGACCCTGTAGACGGCGCTTCTATTATCGGCACGGAACGTATCCATTTTTTTTCGGTGGCCTTTATTTTTTGTTAACAAAAAAAAATTTAATGTTATGTAAAAAAAAATTAATATATTATTTTATCCATTTTATCCATAAAAATTAAATGAATACATTTTTTGCGAAACGAATTTTACAATTCATATTTGGCAAGCATTCATACATTACTTATCGGAGGTGAACTTGCATTCTTATTATAAACAAAAATAGTCAATTTCATTAATTATAACTGTAATTAATAAATACGCCATGCCATCTTTTAGTTGTTGCATATTCTCGTCGCTAATGTCAGCGCCCCTGCAATAAAGATAATTTTGTACACACGCTATTGAATGGCAAAGGGGATGACTGATTGTTATAAAAAGTCGTTCGCTTGCAGGACCCGCATGATTTTGCTACATGCAGACAGTTTGAGCCGCGCGCGTGACCCCCATCGTTTTACCCTTCATTGCCGACAAGCAGCGCACATGCCGCCGCTGTTATTTCCATCACAATTAGCCTATTAGCAAATCTAAAAGTAGTGACGCCCCTGACGGCGTTGTGTTTGAAAATTTTCAAGATGAAGGTCTCCACATGGGATGAATGAACTTATCAGATAATGCGCAAATACCTCAGTCGAACTACGAATTAAGAAATGGAAATTTTGTTACTTGAAAATCGCATGCTTTTTATCCTTTTTATACTTTCTCATACTGGGTTCAATTTATTTCATTTCGTAAGCTTTTTTATTTTCTACAGTTCTCACCCAGATTTAATAAATTGGGTATAAATATTTATATATCATTATTTTTTAATGTATATAAACTGTAGCCTATTTAATTTTAAAATATCTGATTCAATTGAAATAAATTATTTCATATCCCATTTGAGCCAAAATAGACGCTTTAAATTAATGTTTCAAAGAAAATCTTCGCAAAATTATCATTATTGAAAAAAAATTCAATTTCTTAAGTTATAGCAGCAGAATTTGCTTCCCCATTGATTTTTCATTTGACCTTTGACTGCACGCCTCACTTGTTAATGGAAAGCAAAGAGGCTGACAATGAAAGACCGAATGGCCCGTTTGCTCGTCGGCTGCATTGCTGATGTTGGTAAATGCAGAAAGTAAAAAGCAGCAGTCGTGTCAAAGCTCGGCGTGTGTGTTCAAGTGACTGAGTAAGCAACTTTTACTCTTTCACGCCGACCAGGTCTCCTCTCCGTCAAGTTCAAAAACCATCACGGAGAGAAAAAAATCTTGTAGCTTCGAAAGTGTTAAAATGTGCACACTCTTGCAAAAATGAGTTTTTTGTCATTTTGTGCGAGCAGATGAGCTGTGCCGAAGTATTGTTTCTTATAATGATTATCATTATCACTTAACGAAAAAAATTATAAATACGTAATGGAAAACTTTAAAAATAATTTTTGATTTTGTATTGTTCAATGTGAGACCACCAATTAATCATACCACGTTATAGAGGTGAATAAAAATTCGGAAATGTTTTTATTTTAAGAAATCATTTTTTTTTATTCAAGCTGCTTTAGTTACTTGCAGATAATGAAGTTTATTTTCACGAGTAAAAAAAAATAAATCATACTTGTAGAATCAGCTATGCAATATTTTAATAACACCGTTTTATTTTAAGATGACAGAGCTGACTTAAATTAATTAATTGCCATCTGCGTGTTGCGTTACTATTATTTTCCATAAGTGCAAACATCGAAGGGGAATACTGATGGAAGTGTTAATAAATTCTATTCTTCTAACGTTAATTAAAACTCTGCCATGTGGCGGGTTTTCATTGCTGTCACACAAGTTACATTCATCTCAATTAACCCTTTAATTAGTTCTGCAGGCAGCGTGGCTGTTGGATGATTTTTTTGAGCGATGAGAATTTTCAATGCAGTCCCTAATTTTTAATATTTATGCTGGTTGGGTGAGATGATAAATTAAAAAGAAATTAAACTTAAAAAAAGCAGAGAATTCTTTGAGAGCACTCAATTATTTCCAATGCAGAGCACAATATTAATTATTGTAAATATATTTAAAAATAAAAATCAATCACTCATCATTTTTTTTTACTTTTAAACTGTGATTTGTTCATTTTATAATCAACTAAATACTAATTAAATTGTCTTGCGAAAAGAAATAATAATAAGGGAATTGGATAATTTGAGTAAAATTATATCACGATCATGCGCTATCTCATCAACCATGTTATTTTTGGTCGCTGCATGTTGAATCTACAAAACTCGCAATCATTATAAGATTGTATGATAATCAAATCCAAGCAAAATTGCATTACGTGACCCTTTGTTGTTGCAATCTTAGAGAGACTGCACTCATCTATAATAATGTCAACATAAGCAGCTGCTTGAAAGTGCAAGCAAATCGCCACACCGCGCGATAAACGATAAGCAAATTATCCCACTGAGCCTCAGGCACGTCCCTCTCGCTTGCTAATTATTCATGCGTAGGTGCACGCGCGTGCATGCTAATTGCGAGGAGGTTCATCGTCGCGATTTGCTCACCGCGAACTGAAAAGAGCGTGTGTGCAATAATTAAGTCCCCGTGAGTGCGACGCGCCTGACAAACTGCTCGACTGTTGCGAAAATTTTGCACAAATAAGAAGTTGCTTCGCTCGCTTATATTTCGCAACTGAAAATGCTCAGATTTATGATGTCGGACTCTTCGTGAATGGAATTAATTCTGCGCGCTTTTCATTGTGTCCTGATGCCTACACCGCCTTGCGTCGAGTTATTATCGTTTATTTCACTCGCGGTGTTCTGCATGACATTCACTTGAACTCAAGGCAGAGCATGTTTGCAAGTGCTCGTCTATTGTTTGAAAATTCACATTATTTGTGCTCATTTTATTGAAAGGTTAACGTGAAGGGCTGAATTTTAATTTTTGCAAGAGGAGAAAATATGCCAACGTAAAACTTTATTGCCCCAATTTTAAAACTTGTTAAGTTTGTTTAGGAAAAATCTTTAAGTTAATTATCATCAGTATTATACAAATTTTTACTGCCAATCTTATTCGATTTTTAAAATTAACCAGTAATACCATTGAGTGTGTTGTCATTAAAAAAAAAATTATTTAAAATATATCACAATTTGCTGATTGATATTTTCTGCGAATTTTAAAGCTTCAAAGAGAAATTAAAAGAATTCTATATTATTTGGTTTAAATACTTAATAACATCATGAGGAAAACTACAAAAAATAAATATTTAATTAAACAATTAATAAAAAAAATAATAATCAAGTAAATGGATCAGAAAGAGAAAGGACGTGGATATTTTCTCCTCACCATTCTTGTAGACGATTAATATGCATTGTCCATGTGAACGAACAAGCAGCGTCCACACTGAGAAAAAACTCGCGCCAAACAAATTAAAAAGCCGACCGCTGAGAAAAATAAGCACTGACAAAGAATGGCAGAAAAAATTAGCAATGCGAGAGGCGTCGTTCGGGAAAATGCAAAATAACGAGAGAGCTGCTGACAATTCACTCGACCGAAAGAGCATCTCTCCACTTCACCTTGACTTTTAAGCGTTCAAAGTCTTCTTCTTTTCACCTGCCCACTGATGGATTCATAAGTAATGCGCAGTGACGTGGATGCGGTTGGCCCCGGACGGTCCAAAAGCAACAGAGTGAAAATGATAATTTGGGCGAATGAAAGAAAGAAAGAAAAAAGTCTTGCACCTGCAGATGAACGCACCGGAAGTGGGTCATGCACTTGACCTCCTTCGCTTCCGGTCCACATTCGCCATCGGCGGAGGAGGATGTGCATGAGGCTCTCGGGCGCCGGCTCCTCGCCGCCGGCAACCAGAACTTGCACTTTTACTCTCTCAAGAGAGAGACTCTCGCTGCTCCATGCACGCCTCGTTTGCTTGGGAGTTTTCATCTTACGCTCGCAAACGAGTCAATTATGTGAAATTTTATTCCTCGAGCTAAGAGCTTTGAGTTATAAAATCTTGAATTAATGGCCGGATTTTCATTAAAATCCAATTATTTTCATTCCTGATTACTGCTTAACGATTTAATTTGAAATTTAAATTCTAGCGCTTCAATCATAAAATGTTTTTAAATTATTATAATCGGTGTTTATTAAAACAAAAATTAAAATAAATAAATAAAAAGCTATGATTCCAAATTTATAATTTTTATTTATATTAATTTTTTATGCTCATAGCTTTTCATTTTAAAATCCAAACAAAACATTGACCTCAAACTATTCAACGCCTCTGCAAATTTTATCAGGTTTATTGGTTTTATTCAGGAGTAGCATATTTAAATGACGACTGTTATTTCCAAATCACACGCATAATTTAACCAGCAACCATGTATGTAACCATTTCGTTGCCAAATTTTGTTGCGAATCGCACACACAGCATGCTGGTTCATTAATCAGAGCAACTTTCGGATACAGTTTCCCGGCGCCAACCACTTCATCTCTTCTCTCTCAGTGTGGCAAAAAGCCCGAGATTTAACAGCCTCTCTATTCACCCCGCTTGCGTCATTTATACGGACACCAAAGAGGTCGCATTAAATCTAACGTGTGCGATTTCACAATGATACACTAACGAGAGGCGATTCCGTCCGGGTGCTCTCACCAGCACTCTCGAGAGTTAAGAAAACACGGCGCAGCTATAGCGTAATTCATGCAAATGAGGCTCGACGGAGAATAAATGAAACGCACTTACAACACGCGAAAGAAAGAGAGAGAGATGATCATGCAGAGAAAGTTCAAGAGTAACAACTCCCGCTGCTGCCCAAGTGTAATTATACCTGCAAGCAAAGCCGGTGCGCGCATCTTTTGCTTTCTATTGTGCGG